AGTTTGTCTTAACTCCTGTGGCAGGGATTGTGTTTGCCGCAGGTCTCTGAAGATCAGGACACCCATTTGTAAAAAGACCGTCCTCCTGAAGACACCTGTACTCTCAATAACACATCTCTCATTAGCAAGAGGGTAAGTATGGCAGCAAAGAGAAGACCAGAGAGTAAAGAACCCATCTGAAAAAAATGGAAACACTGATCTTTGGTTTCTGCTATATTCTCTGGGATATTTAGAGTAAATTAGTTTCTAAGAAACTATCACTCTTGAACTGCAGTTTTTCTACAACCAGTGGAAATATAGAACTTCTTGCTATTAGTGCGAGTTTGTTGCTATTTTTTTGTTGTTGTTGTTTTCTTGGATTCCTTTCCCTCGTTTATGTTTCAGATATGAATAAAAGCCCATGCATGGAATCTGGTAACATTCCACATTGAGTCATAAACAACATGTAGCCAAACTTCAGTTTTCCTGGGCTGTTAATCAGAAGTTTCACTTTCAAATGACCCCCTGCCTTTGCTGCTCAAATGGTCAGTACTTATAGCTCCTTTCTTTTTTAAAAAATATTTTTATTGCTTTCAGAGAGGAAAGGAGAGGAGAGAGATTAGAAACATCAGTGATGAAAAGGACTTATTGATTGGCTGTCTTCTGCATGCCCCACACTGGGGATTAAGACCATAACCTGGGCATATGCTCTGACCAGGAATCGAACCATGACTTCCTGGTTCATAGATTGACACTCAACCACTGAGCCACACCAGCTAGGCTAGCTCCTTTCTTTTTAAAGCTTTCATGCCATTTGTTCCTACAGTCTTGGAGGGCTTTGCTCTCTTTACACTCAGCTGATATGAATGGTTTTATGGATAAGACTTGGACAACCTGAGTCGCCCTGAATTTTATGCCTTCCGTGCCATAACATTATGTGTATGCAATGGCTCTTGTCCAGTTCAGGGATAATACACAGTTGGGTCTCTCTCTACTTGGTGAACTGTCATTGAATCACAGACTCCTCCAAAAGTGGACAGAACTAGCTAGTAACCTGGGCTAGAAAGGGGTGGGACAATTAATTATTTGAATCATTATATTCCTACAAATCACTTGTGTCCCTCAGATGGGAAATCAGGCTCAAGTGGAGAGTCTGAAGGGGGAGGAAATTTAAAGGAAATAAAAGGAAAAGGTAAAATTTGGTGTGTAAGAGAAGTCATTTTAGATTAGTTCTCTTGGGTATAGATTCTAAAACTTTTTGGTGACCTTGAGAAATGCAGAAAACCAGAGGAAATCGAGGCTGGGCAAGATGTCTGCAAAATTCTGCGGGTCCTTTAGGCCTAGAGGGCGGTTATTTTAGGATCAGAAATATGTTCTTTGGAAATGTGCCTATTTTTTGAATTTGGATTTTTCATAATTATTTTTTATGTTCTTCCTTACTTAGTCACTTTTTTAAAAGTTCAACAATAAACCACAATAACAAAATAGAAAAGCACATGAGTATATGCATTTACAAGTATAAAAAAGATGTTAAATCAGTTTCAGTTGGGTCAAGGGTAATGGGGAGGGTGTGTCTATTCTGAAGTCAGAGCTTCAGTGGTCATTAACATGCTAAAACCCATGAAATACCCATTCTGGAGTGACTTTCTCGGGACTTTTGTTTTCTGCTAAAATCTTGGAAAATTTGTGTTTTACTCAAGGGAGGCTTTCCCCCATTAGGGTATACTCTGTTTTGCTTAACACACATTGAACTAAACTATGTTTATAAACTGCTGAATAGAGGTAGAAAAATTAGATACCTAAAGAAAATTTACTTCATATTATCAAAGAAGTATTTTCTAGATTATTGTTTGTAAAAATACAACTTTCAGTGTACTAAGTTTGCCAAAGAAAGGTGGGAGGTAGTTACTCTGAAGTGGTTTATCATCTGAAAATCTTAATGGTAGATTTCAACTTGTTTCTAATTCACTTTTTATTTTTCCTGAAATAAATGTGACTTGCTTGGTTTATTTCTTTAAAATTCTGGTTTGTATAACTACTTGTGAGACAGTGAGATGGGCAGAACCATGACATTTCATACCATTTTATTTGTAGTTTTGCAGGAAAAGATCTCAATAATATCTATTATTAGTAAACTAAAAGTGTCTGCCCAGGATGTTTGACTTTTCAAACTAAGTTATAATAAAAAATCTGAAATGTGCCATTTTTATTCAAAGTGTGAACTACGATGTCACAGCAGTGCCAAATGGCCTCCTTTAGTCATTCTCTGAAGAGAAATCTCCTCTTCCCTCCTTCTACTCCACCTCCCAACCTCAAGAATTCCAAGCAATAGCCTTACTGTATATTATTTTGATTTTTAGGAATGTATAGGGTGTCTCAAAATTCACGCAAGAAGTAATTTTGATAGAAAATACAGGTTTATAATTAAAAATTGTAAATGTTTTATTGATTCATAAAGTATACAGTATAGGGTTATATATGGAATAGCACATCGGGTAAATGGCCTCCACAGCTTTGCTGGCACATACACAAAGCCGTGGTCTTCATTGGTCTTCATTGTCCCTGCTCCTGGGTCATAATTGGTACTTGGTAATGCTTATCAAATTGAAGGGATTGAAATCAAAGGGCAACAGATATTAGAATCTGATTCAATAAACCAAGTAAAATTAGGCTTTTATTTTTTGTTGTTATTGTTGTTGTTAATGCTCACACAAAATTCAAATCTTGCGTGAATTTTGGGACACTTTATAATGTACATTACTCTTTTTCAAAAAGGATCTGAGGTAACTGCTTTTTTGGTAAAAGCTTTTGACAAAAGCTAAATAATAAGAAATGTTTATGGTTTGTTTGTTTTTTAATTTCAGAGATGAAGGGAGAGGGAGAGAGAGAGAGATAGAAACATCAATAATGAGAGAATCATTGATTGGCTGCCTCCTGCATGAACCCCACTGGGGATTGAGCCCTGACCCTGACCAGGAATCAAACCGTGACCTCCTAGTTCATAGGTCGACACTCAACCAAACAGTGGAGCCACACGTTTGGACAATGGTTGTTTCTTTTTTCTTTATTCAAGGATAACAGAAAGAGAAGGTGCAGATACCTCTTTGTGCAGGACCCACCCCCTGCACCTGAGGGCAGGGATTGTGTTTGTTTTCCTGGGGCAGTGCTTTGAGGTGCCTCCCTCCCAGAAACCCACAGTTCAGAAGGAAAGTGAGGTGAGTACACAAACAACTCTAGTTCTAAACAAATGAGCAGTTGAGTAATTTAAGAAGTTCTATAGGCTATTTTTAAAAGAAATACAGCGGTTGTATTTTCAACTACATAAAGGCCAAGAGGTATTATCAAATTTTAGTTATTGATGATAATTCAAGTTTTTGCTGAAATGTCAGACTTTTTTTTTTAACCTTTAAAGCATGTTAACATATTTGAACTAGTTTCAAAAGAATCAATTTTAAGTTGGGGTGTATGAAAATTTTCAGTTTTCTCATAGTTGGTTGGTCTGGGATACATGTCACAGGAAAAGGAAGAACAAAGAGGTTTTGCTCAGAATCAGACTATTGTGGTTGTTTTGCTCCCAGGGTAAAACCCTTTGGGGACATAGAGAAAGGTGAACGGAAAGATCTTTATCAGGATGTGCACGTAAGTGGTCGTTGCCTTATTCAATGTGAAACTAAGACATCATCAATTCACTGATCATCGGTCCAAGCGCTGGCAACCCGTTCAGCCTACTGACATTTGTATAAAGCCCAGACAGCTGAAGAAAATGGAATCAGATTTTAAAGCAGTAAAAAGAATGACAGAGTTAAAATATAAATGTCTTTCTTAAAAAATGGGTTATTCCTAGAGGGGAAAGCAACAGAGAACCGAGAGGTGAAATGCCTGGCAAAAGCTGAGCCCCTGGGTCTGCCAGGCATCTCTCTGCAGCTGCGCAGAAAGGAGTTACGTGACTCCGAGCATCTCACTCTGAGTCTCTCTCGCAGGCCTGGCAGGGCTGGAGGATGATGTCTCCCAGAGCCAGACAGCCAAGGGGAGAACATTCTCCCTGAGGGAAGACAAGTGTTTTGTAATAAGTGTGAGCAATTGGCTGAGTAGAACAACTACTTTTATCTTTGCTACTGGGCCTCTGGATTCTGCCAAGTATATTTATGCTCGTTGGCAAAGACTGGATGTTAATTTCTTGGCAAAACATACGCACAGACATCTCTTTTACACACAGTAAAGGATCCTACTTTGTAAACGCTCATTCCACAGGGTTTAAAAGCTACAGTGGGGAGTTAAATCACATATGCCTCCTCAAATCTTCTGAAGGAGAGGAATTCTTCATGAAAAGAGAATTTCAGGGTAGTTAACAGGAAGGAGGCTCTTTGTAAAGGCGCTTGGTCCAGCTCCTCTCTTTCCAAGTGTTCTCAGATTGAGAGGCAGTCTGAATTCTTTTTTTTTTTTAAATATACACTGTATTTTTATTGATTTCAGAGAGGAAGGGAGAGAGTTAGAGAGATAGAAACATCAATGAGGAGAGAGAATCATTGATTGGCTGCCTCCTGTACGTCCCCCACTGGGGGAGAGGGGATCCAGCCTGCAACCCGGGCATGTGCCCCTGGCTGGAATCAAACCTGGGACCCTTTAGTCCACAGACCAACTCTCTATCCACTGAGCCCAACTGGCTAGGGTGACAGTCTGAACTCTTGATGCCACTTACAAAATTGAGCAACACCCTCCAGACTACCCTTTGGTTCCTCATAAATTCTGGGACATGACGGAGGGGCTCATCTTATCTTTCTTCCTGTCTTATGTGAATGTGACTGTAATTTCAGCACTCTGAGGTCACCAAGAACACTGAAGTGAGCGATTAAAGAGGTTATTAAGTGTCGCTTGAGGGCAGAATTCCCTATAAAAGCCAGGCCAAGGATCCAGGCATAAGTGAGCTTTTGGCTCACGATACTAAACAAAACTGACAGAAATAAAACTTGGAGCTCCTGAAACCAATGACCTCCTCCTGTGAGAGAGAAACTGATTGCTCTGACAAGGAAAAATGTTTTGCTTAGTGATGCGATTGCCTCCTGGCTGCTGCCATGCTAACTTGCTAACTTGGAGGAGGCAATAGAATATGATGGCCATTTGATGCGGGTTTGTGATCAGGCCCTGGAAAGCAACTTTGTTCAAAGGGAAAGGTATTGGGTGCGACATCACCAAGTTGGTTTGTTTTTTTTCCCTTTCTTTTTCTTCTTCTAAGTCAGTGGTTCTCAACCTTCCTAATGCCACGACCCTTTAATACAGTTCCTCATGTTGTGGTGACCCCAACCATAAAATTATTTTCGTTGCTACTTCATAACTGTAATTTTGCTACTGTAAACAATATGTAATTATATATGTGTTTTCCGATGGTCTTAGGCGACCCCTGTGAAAGGGTCGTTTGCCCCCCAAAGGGGTCACGATCCACAGGTTGAGAACTGCTGTTCTAAGTGCTAAGTATTTGGTACATGATAATATGCAGCCTACCCCCTGTTCCCAAGTTACCTGTTATAGGCAGTCTCCTAAGGGATATCTTTAAAAAAAAATCCTCACCTGAGGATATGTTTTTATTGATTTTTAGAGAAAGGGGAATAAAAAGAGAGAAGGGGATAAAGAGAGAGAGAGAGAGAGAGAGAAACATTGATGTGAGAGAGAAACTAATTGGTTGCTTCCCATACACGTGTCCTGGCTGGGAATCGAACCTTCACTCCTTTGGTTCACGAGATGATGCTCCAACCACAGAGCAACACTGACCAGGGCCTAAAGGATATCTTTTAATTCAAGTTCTTCTACTATTAATAAGGATTTACATTTTCATAGTTCACCATTTTGATAAGGAAAAAATTATTCTTTATACTCAGCCATGACAAGTCTACAATTTCTAATCTAGAGCAAAGATGATGTATTTGTGACACATTGTATATAACCCTCCAGTTTGTTTGGTACCTATTGTTAATTGATCATGCATTTCAATAAGCCTTCAGAATTCTTCTCAGCAAAGCACTCTAGGCAGCTACACACAAAACACTTATTATAAGGACATGAGAGTGTGTCAGCGCACTCAAGGGCAGCCATGCAGAAATGTCTTGTCTAGTCTGAAGCAGAAGGCTGTTGGGATCTTTTCTTTACCTTCCACTTCTGTTCCTCCTGGAGCATTTGTGGTAGGCAGAGTAAGGGCTTCTCAAAATGTCCTAATCCCGGAACCTGTGGAAATTCTATGTTACAAGGCAAAAAAGATTGTGTGAATATGATGAAGATCTTGAGATGGGAGATTGTCTTGGATTATCCAGGTGGGCCAGTGTAATCATAAGTGTCCCTATAATAAGGAGGCAGGAGAGTCAGAATCAGAGAAGGATATGTGACGAGGAAAGAGGTTGTAGTAATGCAACCACAAGCCAAGGAAAGCAGGCAGCTGAGTCTAGCAGAGGTTCTCAACCTGTGGGTCGCGACCCCTTTGGCGGTCGAACGACCCTTTCACAGGGGTCACCTAAGACCATCCTGCGTATCAGATATTTGCATGACGATTCATAACAGTAGCAACAGTACAGTTATGAAGTAGCAACGAAAATAATTTTATGGTTGCGTCACAACATGAGGAACTGTATTTAAAGGGCCAGAGGTTGAGAACCACTGCTCTAGAGGCAATTCTATTTCCTTGCCTGTTCCATCCTCTAGCCAGTGGTTCTCAGCCTTCTGACCCTTTAAATACAGTTCCTCATGTTGTGACCCAACCATAAAATTATTTTCGTTGCTACTTCATAACTGTACTGTTGCTACTGTTATGAATCGTCATGTAAATATCTGATACGCAGGATGGTCTTAGGCGACCCCTGTGAAAGGGTCGTTCGACCGCCAAAGGGGTCGCGACCCACAGGTTGAGAACCGCTGCTCTAGAGCTTCCAGAAGGAACCCAGACCTGCCAGCCCATTTTAGACTTTCGACCTCCAGAATTGTAAAATAATACATTTGCTTGTTTAAGCCACTAAGTTTGTGGTAATTTGTTACGGCATTAATCGGAAATGAATACAGTATTTTATTCATTTGTCTGTCTCTAATGGCTGAGAGACTGGCTTTTTTCTTTTTTTCTTCTCCTCGGTTCATGTGGCAAAACACAGTCTCCCCAGAATGCCCAAGGTTACAAGTTGTAGATCCTGTCACACACAGATTCTAACTTGGCTCTCTTGGTTCCATTTCTAAATTCCAGAAATAGAATATGAGCAGGCCAGCTTGGGTCAGGGGCTCCCCCTATGGCTGGCCAGCCAAAACCAGGGAGTAGGGTCACGCAGCGTAAGTAAAACTGCCGGAAGCCAGCTCTGTGAAGGGGTGGGTAGCTCCCAGAGCTGAGGGGCGGGGTAGACCTTCATCAGTGTCTACTACAGTGTTCATCCTTTTATTTATTGATTTCCTACATTTGAATATTTCTTCTACAAATCTCATGTATCAGGGGTATTGTAGATTGATCACACTAGTGAGCCCATTGTTTCATGCCTCTATATATTTATACCTTTGGGAGTGCCCTTCTAACCTGATCTGACCTTGGCTGCCTGCCTTGTTTTGGACAATGAGACAATAACAAACTTGACACAAATGGTCTTGAAAGCACTT